TGCACTCCAAATTTGGTTTCTCTGCGATGCCTTTCACTTTCAGTCTGAGGGCCGATGAAGAAACGTGTCTTTCAATATACTTAACTGCGTTGACATCCTGCACTATCTCAGATCCAAGGTCTTACTTTGCAATTCCTTAACTATATGACTTCGTAATCTGACCATTTACTTAGACGGCCGCCTTACTGCCCTACTTTATCTTCCTCAACTCCATCAGGCTTTGTCCATATTCAGAAGGGAACTGTGGTCTGCATGGGTCTGGTTGTTTAAGTACCCGTCCGCAGTTAGACGTTTTACTGAGGTGCTAAGAGTCGCTAGTTTCGATTTTCCTACTGAAAAATGTCGTTTAGGTGTCCATGGTAGTTCTCAAGACGAATTACTACACTTTCTGGAGGTTCAGCTTTTCCCTTTTTGGAGCAATCAGGTGTTGTCGGACTAAAGAAGAATCTATGGGCGAATTATCGTTCTGAGGAAGGTGTTTGAATGTGCAGGTAGCCACAAAGCTTCCTGAGATTTCCGTTTACAGTTACATTAGTCTTATAGGTTGTGGGCATAACTGGACAGTGGGAGTTAGCAGTCGTGAGGAAGAGGAGACGGTAGAATGGCGAGGCTCATACAGTCCTGATTTCGTCTGAAGAGGGCTATGTCCCAGTGTCTTGGGGCGTGCCCTCTTCGATCACCATAGCAGATGTTTTCGCTCCCTTTGAGCCTCGGGCTGCTGCACAATTCTTGGCTTGACTACTGAAGTAAGATCGAAATTTCCTATTGATATAGACAGTATCAAAGTCGAAAAAGAGGAAAATATTATTGGATGGAGACACTCAGTTGGTAGGGGAATCGTCTTCCGAAATGTTCCCATGAAATCAACTAACGGGGGCTTATTATGAGAACCGAGCGACACGAGGAATCGATACATACTCATCTGAAACCAAACAAAGTTATTTCGCGTAATTTTAATTTTCTTACGAAGCTGAAAGCCCAGATCTTTGCATTTCACTCTGCCCTCTTCCTTAAGAGACGATAAACAGCGTCCCTTGGTATGCATGAGTATTGACTATTAAACGCGCGGAGTTGAAATCAATCGTATGTGCGCGATCATTCACTTACTTGCGGAAATTACATTGTTTACGGTTGCGCGCCAAGCGTATGCTTGGACCCGATATCGTGTGCGCTGTATGTCATGTACTTGCTTCGCCTAGTGCCAGGGACGGTTTAACCGACTATATATCTATGGCGACATAAATCGTAAATGTGCATGGAGAGTTGCCACAATATGGCGTTGACGAGGCCCCTGGCCTGGTGGTGCGGCTCTAATCCTTAGGAAACCTACGTGGATGAGAGACGATCGTTGCCACGTCGAAAGACCTGCATGACTTGCAGCTGATTTTTACTTAGCCACTTAGGTGGTGGTTCTGTCATAGATTTCCACCTCCGCCTAGCATCAAACGTACGACGTGGTGCATGCAGGTGTCTTTGCGCTTTAGTAGTTCCCTAGTAGGATCGACCAGGTACCAGTCAGTAAGTTCATTTCTATTCTCCTTTCGTTTAATTCAAGCCATCACTGGTAGCCTCACCACTCTCCCAACCTATCCTGCACTCATTGCCTCCGTATATGCACATCACGCGTAGTCACTTGCAAATCCATCGCACACCCACCTCCAACTGTCCACGCTCATTCAGTCATTACCTCCATGAAAACGTGCGACAGGACGTCGCTGGCAATATCACATCAGATCTTTGCATTACACATACGTCTAGAATCACACCGGGAACACGCAGTCATCCCCCCTCCAACTCACGTAAGAAAGAAGTGTGTTTTTTGTACAAGTTCTCCCTTTGCTACCTGTGCGATCTGAGTCTGAGACTGTAACCGTACGCTAAAAGCCATGGCTTCGCAGGTTACCAGTTGGTGGAATAACTCAGAAGTCACAGTCAGCCCAGTTTGTGGGGAGTGGTGGACTGAGAGGCAGACTGCAGTGGCTTCTGGTTCATGTGGTCTCTCCGGCACTCTCCCTCAGGAGAGATCCAAGCGGGTCTGGTTGTCTGGTCCTCTTGACTTGGTCATGACACCGAACCCAGGTGGGGGGGGGGAAGGAGAGTGTGGTATATGCATGGCAAGTCGAAAGTTCAGTCATAGGTTTCGACTGTGTCCATCCTATGCTCCAAACAGGTTGATGCAGGGACGGCCACTTGCTCCTGTGTTAGTTTTAAGTGATAGTAGATTTGTGCGGCATTTACTGCACTCTCCTTCCTTGCCTACCGGGCCCGGTGTCAAGATGACCGGAAGTGAGATCAGGCACCAGACCGCCTTTCAATGCGTGCCATCACACCTGACTGGAGTCCCAGCTGTGTGGGAGGGCCACAACGGCCACATTAAGAAGGAGCCATTGCAGCCTTACTCACAGTTCGCCAGTTAGTCAATCCACACAAAAAGACACTAGACTGACCGCGCAATCCAAGTTATCAGTTGACAACCGGCCAAACCACGGCTTTTAGCGCCCCGTGATAGCTTCAACGGCGTCAGATGCTTTTTACTGAAGGAATAATTGCGCTGAGTCGTCGACCTCACCGCCAGC